TCTCTCTCTCTCTCTCTCTCTCTCTCTCTCTCTCTCTCTCTCTCTCTCTCTCTCTCTCTCTCTCTCTCTCTCTCTCTCTCTCTCTCTCTTTCTCTCGGTAATACTGATTAAACAGAAAAAAAGATAGACAAATTAAATATGAATAAATGTTCAAAAATGTTGTGAAAATGCCATAAAAATGCCTTTAGTAATCGAGTAAAAAAAACATTTTTATAACATGTGATAAAATATTCTTGTAATAAATAATAAAAAAAGAAATATATATTCTTATATTACGTTTAAAATATAAGTTTACTTTTATCACGGTGGAATATGAACACGTGTTATTCATTCAATAAACAGTTTATTACGTACAGTGTTACGCAAAAGTTTTTTAATCACTTAACAAATAGAAATATTTACTTTTAATTTTTAAAAGTATGGCAATGTTTCATAAAAGAATATATATATATATATTTTTTTTTTAATTCGTGTTAAAATAAGTAAGATATTTTATATATTCGATGATCGATACCGAAGGCCATAACAAAATACAAAGATTCGTACTGTACAAAAATGTCGGTTAAGACTCGTTTATTAAGTTATAAGCAATTAAAGTTTGGATGAAGCGAGACGGAAATAGAGATGGCGCGGTGTGACGAAGACAGAATTATCTTACTCGATCAACTTACTTAAATTATTTATTGTTATAGCAATAATGGATTAACCGATATTTTTGCATGCCAACTTCGTACTCGTTTGTTGTGATCCCTAGAATCGACTCTTTAAAGGTATCTTCGAAGATATATATCCAATTTAAATAATACCAATAAAAATATTTCTGATAATACGATATTATGGTTCAGACATACGTAATAATGTCAAATATCTGATGTTAATAAAATAGATATACGATTAAAGAAAACAGATAGTGACAATCATAACTATTTTTGCATAAAAAAAAAACATTTTACAAATTTGAATTTTACAATGTTTTTCAATATCTTCGAAGAATCATTCGAAATATCAAACGATAGAAATGGTACAATCTGTACTTTTCAAAAGGAAAAAGATCGATCGGTTGCTTTACTTGCACCGATCAATATGATTGTGTCGTATATCGTAATTATCGAATTCGTGAACACATTCCACATAGTGATTCATATGGCTTCGTTCTTCAACGTGACCAGGTATGTATCGCTTTTCAAGCAAACGAACGATAGTTAACGATAATTATCTTATGATATATTTACATTTTTATCTTTATCTTTAATTTGCTTAACTTTTGTTTCCACGTCGCTTATAATTATAAGTCTCTTAAGAAAGTATTACTCGAAAGTTATTTATCTTTGGGACTGGGAGAACATTTTGTGAGAAAAATTGCATCCAAATATTATATTAAAGTATGATTAAGATGCCCTTAATACCATTTCTTGAAACAATTCTTCGATTTAAAGAAACGCATATACTCTCTCTTGATAAACTTTGGTCTCTTCATTAAACATTTTGTCTTCGATATTTTTATTTACCTATCATTGATAAGATAATAGGTTTTATAAAAATAGATTATACGCAATGATCCGTTAAATCATTATTTCTGGTATACATACGTAGCTAAAGTATATTTTAAGAATCAACAATATTCCACGTAACATGTTGTATAATCCATTTAAAATATATCTTATTTATACAATATTTTATCAAAAATCACCAGCGGGAAAACTTTATGGTATTGTATTTTTTTTTTTTTTTTAGTTACACGTTTCGTGTATTGTCGATAAAAATTTATCACAACAAAGTATGAAAAATTTTTTACTCGGCAAAGGAAACAAAACCACGATCATTCGACATTCACTCCGATCTCGAGAAACGTCTCGTTTAGAATGCAAGCCGCGTATAACCGACCTACGCTAAAGCTAAGATCGACGATATCTGAAAAATCAGTGCCGAATGCAGCCGAATGACACCATTTTGAAATAACTCGGTATGCACACTCCCACGTAATATACACTGTTATCCATAGTGTCACCGCATGCTTAATACGTTTAAAATAGAGATAAATGAACTTTGTGTCGCAAAAAAAAGAAATTCCAACGAAATATTAACCTCTACCATATTTTTAAAAATCCTACTGTAAATTTATATCGAACGAACGAATCATGATTCGAAGATTAATATTGCCGGGAGAGAAAGTTTAATTTTAATATTTGATTTTTTTCCCAATCACATTTCTTTTTCTCTCTCTCTCTCTCTCTTTTTAATATCTATTTAGAAAATTTAGATATCAAATCTTGTAGTATTTAATTATTCGTAGCATATTCGAAGATAAATATTTTTGTACCGCCTGAAAAATTGCAACGCGACAAAGAAATATTTTACAAAACGCACGATATCTTGGAATTGTTACAAATGAATGATAAATTGCATCGTGTCGTTCCCCGACCGATCAGTCAAATATCCGGCGACTTATGAACGGGACTGTACACGCATGCAAGTGTGATCGCACGGCACGAGCGAAGAATTCACGAAGATTCTTCATAGAAATAATTATCGCTGATCTAGATTCGCCGTTTACGAAATCTTCGAATCTCGCGGAATCGAAAATAGATAATTTTCTTCCATATGATAACCGAAAGAGGTATTCCTCGATATATATCTTTAATAACACTCACCCAGAAGTAGGTAGAATTTCGTCGAATAGAGGGGGACACGTGTCACAGGATGTCCGTTCTGGGATAGTTGTGTGTCGAATATTAGAGAGAGTAGCACTCACCTTGCCCGAGGTCGGAGAAGTTCTGAGATGCGCTGACTCTTGGCAGGTTTCTCGATTCGCTTACGGAAGCCTCAACAAAACTCGGCAATCTAATTTGCTGGTAATTTACGTGCCGATATCTTCAATCATTGTTGTCATAAGAATACATTCTTCGGCGAATGTACGCCCCGATTATAATCCGAGAATGAATAACACCGATCGTGTTAACCTTACCTCGATCGAAATAGTTTCTTACTTGCGAGTTGTCGAAGCCACTGTCGATGAAAACAAATGTTCCGAAGGGGGAAGAAATTGATGCTCGAGATTTAACAGTTCGGGTGACTTGCATCGTCCGAGGGATGTTTAACGGTACTGGTAAACTGAAATTAAAGAATAAGTAAAGGTTAGATTAGATAGAAAGAAGTTAAAGCATTGTGGAATACTTTACGTAAGCGTTCAAAAGTTGTGTGAAAATGAAAACTCTGATTTGTTAATAAATCTTATTATAATTTTTTTGTTCGTTATGATATTACGAGAAGTTCAATGAAAAATTCATTTATGTCTTTATAAAGATATTTTTGCGACTTATCGTCGTATTTTTTGTACACATTTTTTGTATACATTCGTCTTCAAATTATATTTTTCACACATCAGATTTCTTGTAAAAAATTAATATATATTTAATTCTATATTTATGTAAACTCTATTATGTACAACAATAATATAAATATTATTTTATTTATTATATATTAATAGAATTAAGTTAAAATAATTACACACAGATAAGATACAATATAAATCAAGCATTCAATTTTAAATTCTTATTGTCTTGTATTCGATAATAGTTACTATTTCGATAATTAAATACTTATATTAGAAATTCCTCACAAAGTTATAAATATCGTAGAGATATATTATAGAATTAAGAATTTAATATCTGTATTTTTACATTAAAGATAAATTTACACATTATATTTTTGAAAGAAAAATAATAAATTACAATTGGCATACCATAGCTTGTTTGTGGTTATGCGCACGCGCCAAGCAAGTATAAATAAAGAGAGCAAATAATAAGAAAAGGATAGATATAGATTAAAAATTGTGGAATCAGCGCCATCTTCAGAGTGCCGCAAATGAAACACATATAAACAAAGAGAGCAAATAATAGAAGAAGGACAGAAACAAAGTAAAAGTAACTACTAGCGCCATCTCTCCATTTCTGAGAGAAATATCTTTTTAAAAATAATCAAGAGATGGCGCTGATATTCAATTCGTATTCTGTTTTATCCTATCTTTGAAGAGATGTTTTTGGTATTCGAGAGATGGCACTAATCTTTAATTCTTTTTCTGTTTTATCCTATCTTTGAAGAGATGCTTTTGGTAGTCGAGAGATGGCGCCGATTCCTCAATTTTTATTCTATCTCTCACTATTTATTCTCCTTATTTATATTTATTATGCAAAATTTATACAAAATCAGTTCAAAAATCAATTCAATTTATATAATTATTTTTATTACTTTTTTTCGTAATATAGAATATATGTAGCTTTTACAAGTACTATTTAGAATTAATTTTTTCATTTAATCCAAATATAAATAAAATAATATTGATAAAATTAAAATATGATTGATATCGTTTCTTTAGTTTTTAAATAGCAAAAATATCATACGTTTTGTATGGCACATGTTATGCTACTACAATCTAATTTTTGCAAAAGAAATAGTCTGTGTGTATAATATTACTGTTTAAAATTTTTATGTCAATTGATATTATACTATAATATTATTTATATAATGCAATAAAATTATTAATAAAAATTCATGTATCTAACTAATCTTTAAAAGGAAAAATACATATAATAGATAAAATCATTATCAATTATTAAATAGTTTAGTTTTTTTTCTTCATTTACTAATTTTGTATTATATTTTTTAATGCCTTTTATATACAGAAATAAATAAAAAATATAATTCTAATTATTTAAAATAAATAGAGAAATATAATTTTATCGCTAAATGTTTGTTTCTTATTTTTTATTAATCTTCGTAAAACATTTACGTGTATTTTAAAGTAGTAATTGGTTATAATTTGACCGGAATACATCTTATGATAAGAATTTGAAAATTATATAACAAATAAACATTTACGATTTATTTTACCTTCATATATAGATTCAAACAGTATGTATTTAATCAAATAGTATTAATGATCAAAATTAATGAAGTAATTGTATTTAATACATAAAATTGCAATTTCTAACCTTAATTTTTTTCTTTTGTATAACCTCGGTTTATTTTTCATTTAGAATACGACTTGAAAAGAAGTCAAATATTTGTTTATACAATATGAATAAATACTTGACACTTGCAAAAGCGGGTACAAATTATGCCAAGCATATGAATCGTTTGAGTAATCGAATATTCGGTGAAGTAACAAGAACAGTTAATTCAAAATCTATGAAAGTAGTTGAATTATTTAGTGAGAAACCATTACAAAAACGACCAGAAATTGTTGATTATTATCCACGGCATCGTGAAACTAATGAATTAATGAAACATCTTAGAAATTATGGATTATTCAGAAACGAACATCAAGATTTTAAGGAAGAATTTGAACATTTAAGAGAACTTCGTGGAAAAAAGAAATGGATTCCACCACCTTTTAGAAAATAATCATTTATAAAATTTGCATATATTCAATATATTACATAAAATTATTTTGTATAAAATATATGTTGTATAAGTAAATTCAAATGCCATGTGCGTAAATAATAATATAAAGATTCCAAAATACAAAATAGTAGAATAGATATAGTTTTTTAGGACATATTATAACATTACATGAATAGGAGGAAGTTATTTCTTCAAAATTAAATGGTAATAATAATTCAAGATCATCTGTATCTATTTGATCGTTGTATCCTTTTATCATGTCTTTATGAAATCGTTGATTATTGCATAACAATGATTTATTTATAGTACTAAATTGTTTTTTTTTATTAAATTCCATACATTTTGACTATTATCTTCAAAATTTCCAATTTCTTTATATTTATAAGTAATATTACTTGTTTCTTTTGCTATATCTATGTAAGACATTTTATAATAACTATTAGAAAAAGATGACTTTATATCATTACAATTATTAAAAATAGATTGTAATTTAGTTTAAACATAAAATTTAGCCATACTTTCCAAAGATGAATTTTGATAATTTATTGTCACTCGAGATACATTTTTTGAATTATTTGACCAATGATTTATTTCTGAATCAGTTTGTAATAAGTCTGAATAATTCCACAAACATCTGTGCATACGAATGTTTTCTGTAAAACTATTATTTTCCCATTCTTTTGAATCCTTGTTATTAAAAACTAAATCATTTATCCATGTCCTAATTAATTAAAAAATTATATATTATATTAAATTTTATATGAAAAAAAACATTTTATACATTTTTTTATAAATTTAAAAATATTTTCTATTTTCAAAAATTTATGAAATTTATTTATAAATTTATACCGAAATGAACCAAGATCAATATATGCTGGAAGATTTCCACACTCTAAAGAAAAGTTTGTCCAAGATGCAATTCCAACTAGAGCTATCTCATGATTTTGATTTTCACATACAACAGGAGAACCAGGATTACCAGCACAAGCTATAATTTCATCTTTATATTCAACCATTGTACAAAATAAATTTGTATAATTTGTATATGTTTTTATCATGTATGTACACATTTTCCAGGAATTAAGAAATACTTCATGATATTGAACTGGTTTAGCCAGAACTTTTAAAGATGGTGAAACATAGCTTTGCCATCCAAATATTAGGCATAATTTGTAATTATCATTATATTTGACAGGTACAATATTAGGTAGAATTATTTTATTATGATATATATTAAATGGTTTTGTAAGTTTCAAAAGAGCTATATTATAATCTCGATCAGGAGGATCAGAGTAAGCTTCATATGAAGGATGTATGTATGTAGCTTTTACAGATATCGTTTGTTTAGAGTTAGTTCCATTCAGTCCAGTTGCAAATAAAATAATGGACTGTGTTAATAAAATTAAGATATGACTATTGATACCTTTTCTTTAATTTTTAAATAGTAAAAATATCATACATTTCTTTTGTCTTGCACACATTGTGCTGAGGTTATAATCCAATCTGGTGAAAGAAGTACTCCACCACATGGTGTTACTGTTTGAAATTGTATCAACCAAGGAAATTGACCATCTTGTACTCTTTTACCTTTTAACAATATATTTTTACATTCTTCAAAATTTATAAAAATAAAAAAAAATGAAATGTATATTGACATATTTGTTAAAATATAATAAAATTAAAATACATATTTAAAAATATATGCTATTTTTATGCAACTATCTTCAAGTTAATATAAGTATAAATATGTATTTACAATTTTTAGACATAAAATTATTTATTAAAAGCAAAGTATATTTATAATTATATCAAACATTGATATATATATAATATAATATAATATAATATTTGTAATTCAAATACTATATTATATTATTAAATTTATAAATTAGATATGAAAATGTGACATATTGCAATGTTTAATATAATGATTTAATAAAAAGATTGAATATTAATATACTATTCTATAGTCATTTTTTTTTAAATTTTATAAATGTATCATATTCAATTCCTTCTTATATTTTATTTTTTTTATATATTATTATTAATTATCCTATTATATACTAAAGGATTTTTCAATGAATTATAGTACTTCATTGAAATATTAATAATAATTAAATTTAATAATAATTATTAATAGTTTATAATTCTTCTTTTATATCTTTTTCTTTATTTTGAATTTTTATATCTTCTTTTTTTTTTTATTTTTTTCTCTTTCATATCACTACTCATAGTTTCACCCTTTTCTTTCAGACAAGAATCATCTTCTCCTTTTAATGCTTTTTCTGAACATAAATATCTAATAGAATAAAAATTACATTATGTAGTTGAATTAAATTCAAAACATAATAATAATAATAGTCATTACCTAATCAAAGGAATTTTTCCTTGATGATTATGATACCAGTCTTCAATATCAGCCTCATGATTTTCGATTAAATCTTCGCATTGTGATTTTAAAGTAGAAATTTCAACAGATGGTTTATCCCATAATTCATATGGGATTCCTAGTTCAACTTTGACACCTTTATCCCTATAATAATAATTGTAAAATTATAATTATTCTAATATATTTAAAATCTAATTTAAATTTAATTTGAAACTGCATCTTACACAAGATCATGGAGTGCTTTAAATGTCTGACTCATTCCCTTAGCAAATCTTGTACTATCTGTACGTTCTTTGTGAATATTATATTCCAATATACGTTCACATAAATTTTCTATACTTTCTACTAAACGTAATTCTCTAAACGGAATAAAAACAAAGTTTTCACAAATTATGATTTACAAATTAAATGCATTTCTTTAAAAATATATATATTTACGATTTTTTATATTCTTTCTTTTTCTTGGGTAAAACATCATCAAGAGAATATCCAATTTCAAGTATATCATGTGTTTTACCTGTTTCATCTAATCTCGCTTCTAATTCAGTGGCAACTACTTTGCAAACTATAACAAACAATGATATTTATAATATTTATAAAATAGCATCAATAAATTACTGTTTATATATAATTACCTTCGCATTTATTTGCATATTTTACACCTTGTTCTTCTTCTGGACCACCAATTACAAAATGAGAAACTAATAAATGTATAAAAAATATTTTTATAAATATATACATTATAAGACTATAAAATTATACTAATAATTTAAAGGAACTGTATGATTATGGAATGATTCGAATATTATTCATTCACATTTATACTTCTAGTTTATTTTTAACCATATAAATAGTTTTTTTTGTTAGCATTATTACAAAATATTTAAAATTTTATAGAAATATAACTATAAGAAGAACCGGATATATTAATTTTAATCTTAAAATATCATAAAAATTTTTCTAATTTTATCTTAGTTGATTGTGGCTTTATTCTATTCGTTGATATAGGCGGCATTTTTAAAAATATCCAATAAGAATAAAGAATATATATATAAATTTATAATATTTATTTCAATATTTAAGAATCCTAAATATTAAAATATTTAAATCTATATGAAATAATTGAGATAGATTTATATTTAATTTTTATACGAATTTTTAGTTTATCATTTTTTAGAAAATAATCTTTTTTTCCTAATAACATTATAAATAATGATTATTTTTGTTATATATATATTATTATTATATTTATATTCTTAAATGTTTGTAGATGTTATTTAAGTATTCACAATTTATCCTACTAGTTCTTGATGTTTTAAGTTTAAACATTTTGTTTTATAAAAAGATTGATTGTAACAATAAATTTTTGTTTTTTTTCGAGTATATTATTAAAATTTGTTTTTTATTAATATTTGGACAAATTTTTATAATATAAAAACAAATTATTCATATTTAAATAAAAATATAGAAGTTAGAAAACAAATTAAATACAGATTGAATACTGTATCAGATTTTTATATACGTATATTGTGGTTACAAAGTATATAACCATAAAATTATAAATTTTAGAGATTAATAAATATATAATTTTTTTGTGATATTGTATGGTATGTATAATAATTTTAAATAATATTGCATAATATTTCATGACAAAGTAAATTTAAAATTATATTACTTACGGATAAAATATTTATATTTTTTTAATTTCTTTTATTATTTCTCACTCTTCTTTATTTAAAAATTAAGAAACTATTTTATAATTAATTTATTATACTTTTTCATATAATAAAATTCTATTATATTTTATATAATTTCATGTAATTGATATAATTTCCAAATATATATGGGATAAAATGTAATCAATTTTTGTATTTCATATAAATGATTTATGATTCACTGATACAAACTATTTTCTCTGAAATCATTAAAAATATCAATTTATTTTTTTTTTAAACAAATAATTACTAATTGTTAGTGACAATTAAATTAAATATAAATAAATATTTATGTTTAACAATAATTTAAAGGTTAAAAAATATATGTGTAATATGGAAAAATAAAACGTCATAAAATTCATGTTTAATAAAAAAATATTAATCTTTTTATAACAATGTAATTATTTTTTAATCTCAAAAAAAAATAGAAATAAATTAACTAACTATATATATATTTTATGTAAATATTTTTTGTACATATATATATATATATATTTTATCATATCTCATTTTATGTGAAATAAAGTGTATTAATTAATATATAAAAATAATAAAAAATTTATATAAAATAAAAAATATAGTTTTTAAACTAATATCTGTATGTGAAAAAATATTTTAAAGAAAATAATTGATTTCAATTCTAATAATACAATTTTCAGAAAGAAAAAGTTCGTAATATTTTCAATAAATTATTTTTTTGTTTGTTTTCAATGCAAATAAATATTAAACAAAAATTTTTTTTTAATAAATTATTGATAATAATTCTATTTATATTGATACTGTATTAATATTAATTTTTAATATTTTTTTCTTTTTAGATTTTAAATCGAAATAATAATAAAAACAGAATAATAATAAAAAACAAGATAATAATAAAAAATTTGTTACTAAAAAAAAATTTGATATTTATATTATATACATAAAATTCATTCATAATTGTTTTTTTTTAAATAAATAATTAAAAAAAAATTACAATTTTATTATATAATTTATATGATAATACAATTATTAAATAATATAAATAATATTATATATTATATAAAATAAAACTTGTTTAAAATTTTATAATTCTTATAATTTTCATGTTAATTTTAATTCTAAATTGAATTTTAAATGACGAGCAATTTATAGATAAAAAAATTAATAATTGGAAATTGAAATATAAATATGAATATGAATATGAATAAAAATTCTTGTTCAAAAGTTATATTAGAAAATTTGTTATTTTATCATACAATATAGGAAATAATATTTGGCATGTTTTGCAAATAAAAAATGATTAACATAAAAACAAAATAAAAATATAAAATAAAACCTATGTTTATTATACAAGATTTGTAAAAAGAATGAAATTTTTAAAATTAATTAATTACAATTAATTAAATGTATGTTATGTTTATCTATTATATGATTAGAATTTATATTATATATTAAAACTTATATAAAAAAAAAAAATTTCTGCACTTTTGACTTATATTTTAATTATAAAATATTGAATTTTCATATTTTCCATTAATTACTTATATATAAAACTCTCCGTGTTAATTATGTACTCCACATAATAAAATTCATCAGCAGATAAAGAAAGTATTTTCCAATGATTATATCATAAAATTTCTATATGTACATGTATATAAAAAATAATAAAATAATTTTACTTCAATAACTGAGATTTCATTATATTTCGTTAACAAATATCAATTATAAAATTAGAGTTATAATAAAATTCATTATATGAAAAATATATACATGAAAAAAATTAAGTAGCTTCTTATATAACAATATTTCTCTTCTATCTAATATGAGTTTAAATAAAATTTTATTTAAAATTAAAGTATTGATATTTTATAGTAACATTTTATATTAACTACTTGTAAATTAAATCTGATTTTGAACACTTATTTGAACTCTGTTTAGTAATAATTTGTACCATTTTAAATCTGTAATTGGATTATTCTAACTCAACTTAATTGTTTCATTTATATTGTATAAAATTCATAAATTTATTGTATTTGTAAAGAAATAGAAACTTTTTCGCGTATCATCTAAATTAAAATGAATTATTCCATTGAAGAAAATTACGATACAATATCGAAAAGTTGTACAGTTGTCTAATAATGATATTTTGTAATAAGTTCTTTAAATATAATTACATCATATCGTCAATATATTCTTATTCTAAACATGTGTTTTGCTTTTTCAACAATCTCATAGATGTAACATGACTACTGATTTATAAACTTTTAATTTCGTAATTGATCGACAAAAATTTTCACAGCTTTCATATAATTTTCTATTTAAATAATTACAAAACAATATTTTGTTATATATTAGTAAAATATTGCTCATAATCAGTCAAATTTTCTGACTCTTATTAGATTATTATCACAATCGTTACATTATGAAATTGTTGGATATAATGATCCCTATTACCATTTGTACAATAAGAGAACTTTTTTATCGCTTCAAATAAAATATTAACTCATTTAGATCTGTTTTGCTTTTTGTAAAAATATAAAAAGATTAAAAAATGTAACTTTAATGACTGTAATATGCATTATAATAATCATGTTATAACTTATGTATGTTTCATACATTATCTTAAAATAAAAATGTGTTTAGAGCCTGAAACATTTGTTTCATTTATTAATTTTACATAAACTTTTGGTTTCATTTCAGTCTTATTGATAAAAATACGATACATATAGAAAGTATACTATCGAGACAAAAACAATTTTTTTGATTAACTCTTTATTTTTGTTTTTATCAATGGCTGCACAAGCAGTCCTCCATAACGAAGTTTTGATGTCAATATAGACTTTAAAAATTATTTTTTTAAATGACTGAATATATGGAAGCTGCAAGCATTCCATTGTAATGAATATTGTATCCAAGAATATGTTTCAAAAAGATTTTGCCTTTCTTGTGTCTTAAATGTTTACAACATATACAGTTACATTATATAAAAAAGAAAAGAAATTATAATACTTAAATCTAGAGCAACTGGAATTGATAGTTTTATATATATATATGTATATATATACATATACATATACATATAAAACAAAATATAAAGAATATATAAGAGGAATATATCTTACAAAATCTTATGTAAGAAACACGATAAAATTGCAATAATATAAACATTATAAGAATAAATTTTTTACATATAAAGGAAAATATACATCCATATTTAGTACGATTGGCTTATGTTTGAATAAAAATGATTGATTTTAAATGAATTATGAATTAAACAAAGCTAATGAAAAATTTTAAAATAGTTCTTATTAAAAACGACTTTATCTTTAGAAAAGCAAAGTCTTGTAGAACGTATATATTACTTATATAATGCTCATCGATCGGCGGTAGCGTTTTCTAGTATTAGTTATAACAACAGGAACCGATACAGGAGCAGGAGGAGTTACAGGTGTAACAGGAGTTATTGGTGTAAGAGGAGTTAAAGGAGTTTCAGCCATTTGAGCTGAAGAGGGGGGCCTGAGCTACCAAATATAATTTTCGGTTTGTGGGGCCCGCATTACTCCCACACCTCCACCGAGTCTTCTATAATTCATACAACCACACAATTTCCATTGATTTTGTTCTGAATCATACACTTCAATTGTTTTTAAATAGGCAGTTCCATCAAATCCACCCACTGCATATAGTAAACCATTCACTACTGCTAAACCTACCTGAAAATATTAAAAAATTAATAAATTCTTTTGTTAATTAAAAGCACATTTATAATTAATATTTATCTTTTTAAATTTTTTAAATCTAATAATATAATTTATAAGTATTTTTTATAAGTATTTTTTAAATTGAAAAAATACTCATATTTATTCTTAAAAAAGAAACAATTTATTATTAAATTATATTAATTTGTTTAATTTTTCTTTTATTTTTTGAAAATTTTTTCAAATGTCCGAAATATAAAAAATTAAGCAACTTACTCCGCTTCTTCTTGATGTCATAGCAACTATTGGACTCCAAGAATTTGTATGAGGATTATACCGTTCTGCGCTCGAAAGTTCCATACAATCATCTCGTCCACCAACGGCATAAATTAGATTATTAAATACGGCACAGCCTAAATGCTTACGTCTTGTAGACATAGGCGAAACTTGAGACCATTTATTTTGTCTTGGATCATATCTTTCTACTGTATTTAATGGCGATTGACCATCAGACCCGCCGATGGCATACAAATAACCGCCTAACACAGCAACA